ACAGCCCGTTTTCTTCACTGCTACGTTGGCTCAGGGGTTCAATGAACATTTGAACATCCCACATTCTGCATTTGTACCTGTGATAGGTACCTGGTAATAGTACATACAACCTCCTACATAACAAAAGCACGAGGCACAGAGGCACAGAGGCAGCTCGCGTCAGTTCCGGTAGCACAAAATGCACATATCTGCAAGATGAAATTGGAGGTCTAGGCTGTCTACAGGAAGATCTATGATCACAATTTAAACTTGTACACCATCATTATCCCTTCGCCGAAAATGGACAATTATGAGTGACATCACCGTTGGGCCTTCAAATATGGTTAGCGGTTAGCGATTAGCATATCTGTTGGCATGAACATGACCCGAATTTCTTATCTAATTCCCGGATTTTCTCACCATAAAGGGTCAGGTATTGATTGTTGTTTCTATAATAAGCACAAAGAGAGAAAGTTGCATGGTTTCATGTGAAAGAAAAAGACTCACGTTATCGAGTCGTATTCCAAGCTGGCGGAATATATCGAGAAGCTGCATAGAATCAGAAATTTGATTGGTCGATTGGCCACTTATGTCTGAGAGATCGATACGACCCCTTTCCGCGTGCATTAAGAACAGACCAGTCAGGTCAGTATCTTGAATTTTGACCAACCCCCTTGGCATTTCTATGCATCTAGGGAAATGGTCTTATTTCTCTTAAGGAGTTTTATTACAATCATTTGACAAATGCTCTCTGTCCTTCTTCGTTCTTCATAACGTTGAATTATTAAGACAAGATAAAATGATTGTCTAGCCTTATCCCTTTTTATTTAGCATGCACTTATGTACGTGGCTAGCTGATGTACATGGAAAGGTACTTGACCGACATCGAATATTGGAAGGTACAGACATCGAAACTTCCAGCCGACCAGCAATTAGGTTTAGCTAGAGATGCCATTTATCCCATCAACAGCCTTCTTTCACATGGTATTCCCAGATTTAACCTTCCATAAGGCCATTAGCTAACTCCTAAAGAACCTTCAAGTGCTAGCAACCACTAACTGACACCGCTCGGCCGGGTCCTAGCCGGGTCCTACCTACCTGATTATCTGGGGTCATCTGGGATGCCATGTCTTAGTCATGCTCCAATCAGGAGACGCAGGTCTCAGTCTCCGACCATATATTTGCATGACATACCTGAGGACAGCTCTATTGATGACGCGCTCTTTACAGCGAATGCAGTGGCTTGTACGTCACCCACATTTACATAATGAGCAACAGTATTTCACCACTTACTTAAGTAGCATATATCATATGGTATAGAGTCACGACAGTCTAGCAAGGTAGTTTTACCTTATCTTATTAGAAATAAACCAAATGGTCATCAATATAGCCCAGGTAAACATTTTCTCAAATGCCATAGCGAGTCAAAACTACTAGTAGCTGTTTAAGGTCATCATTGTTAGCTCTACCTTGATGACGTCCTAATTTAGTGACACTTAGCCTATGACAAAGTCAGCAATCGAGGTCAGCGGTTTATTCCCTAGTCTATATCCATTGTAAGTCTAGAACTCGAGGCTCGGCTAAGACGAGTGATATACTCTACAAAGACAAAAGGACTTTACTTATTTAAACAAAGCCTTTCCGAATTTTTAATCCAGATATACTAAAAATGGTCTAGCAACTTCTCGATATTGGCAACTTCCACGCGGCGTGCTCATGAGTTGTGAGATTGGTTTACTCGTAAATGTTTTTCGTACGGTGATTGTAGTCAACACTCATTGTTGCACGAATGGTGTTGCCCCCCACGAAACACGAATAGCACGCCGGGGTTTGGATAATTGTATTTTTGAGTCCTTGGGGGAGGACATCATCCCCAAAAGGGGGGCCCAGAACCAATTGTGCGAAAGGGTACAAGCCCCGGACGAAAATGGTGGCTAACTTCAACGTTTAATAAGCCACGTTTTCAACAAATCATGGTGATGTTCGTTCTGCTCTGCACACTGATAGCACCATACATCTTGAGAACTAAAAATGGGACCTTTAAGTGGGAAAAGGTTTCTTATAGAGTTGGGTCTGTCTGATGAAATTGAGAGCTAGGCTTTTCGAATATGTTCTTCAGAGTTCAGCAAACACATCCTTACGTGAGGAGATATCTGTCCGTTTTCTAACAGGGCGCCGGATGTTTACGAATAGCTCTTCCACTGAGGTCAAGTTTTGAGAATGTGTGGTTTTGCCCGATATCCGTATATCATTCTCGTGGACGATGTCAATTGCCGATGTCAATTGCCGATGTATGAATCTAGATGTTATGACCGAACTAAACGACTATTCGATGATGTGAGGCTTTAGATGGGATTCACGGCTTGGCCCAGGCCCGTCATAACTCCCCAGCCAACATTAGTCAACGTAACACAAATCGCCATCACAGTATGACCCCTCATTTAACAACGCCGTTGACATCATATCCACTAGGTCGGCATCGCAACACTAAAGGCCGACGCCGAGCATGTGGTGGCTGAGATGCTGGCGGGTCTGGCGGACGGGCAAGATTGATAGAAGTGTATAGGTACTGTTGAAGCCAAAGGCTTATGGCTGAAAGCGTAACTCCCAATAGGGGTATATATACACGCTGGGATGATCACTGAACTACCTACTCTAAACCCAAGTTAGGGAATTCATAGCGGAGACAAGATTTCCTTTAGAAAATATTCCCTTTACGGACCATTCTTGCCCTGAGGAAGAGCTGGCGAAGATGAGGCAGTGTTAAAAAATCAGTATCGTCGTGCCCATGATCCCTTCGTGTAACATGCATAGGAGAAAATCTCGCAACTTAATCTTAGGATAATAAAACGAATTGAATATGTTTAGGTTTCAACTGTTAACTATACAAGAGATAACTTTTGATTTTTTACTAATCAAGTAAGCTATCAAGATTGAGAGAGAATGAGCTAGAACTAAACATAACTCTACCATGTAGATTGAGATTTATAGCATGATCTGTCCTCAAAGACTTGATTGAACCTAGTTGTCTTGTGAATAAAATACACCCTCCCTAGGCAATTACTGTAAAATCAAGTACAAGACTTGTACGACAATCCACGGATGGAACTAATTGCAAGGGGTTCCCAAACCCAGGCTGCCAAATAGGGTCGATTATCTCCGAAGGATTCCATGGACTATTCGGGTTCAACCGATCCTATCTAGTTCGGATCTTGAATTCGTCCGTTGATCATCGGATTTACGTTCGCTACTAGCTTTTTTTGAAAGAACAACATGCGGATTGACGACTGAGCCGAGCCTCACCATCTATCGATATGGCGTACTGGAGACTTGTTACGCCGCTTCCTGTGTGTGAACGGGGATTATTCTGGTTTGAACTCATGCCTGGTAGCGTTCCAGGCCCCAACCTTTGTCTGCCGAGTATATATATCTAGCATCTATAGAAATCATGAAGTCTCTATTGACTCACTGACAGCAAAACATTCCTGTTATTGAAAATCAGTGCAAAATGGCTGAATATTCTCATGAACCCGCCTTTAAGGCTGCCTGCGAAGACGGCCAGCTCTCAGGCGTGGCACTTGTCGCCGCCGACATCACGGGCAAGTTCAAGTACGAGAAAGCGTTTGGCAAGAACGCGCACGGGGAGGCAATCGCTACGGATAGCGTGATGTGGATGGCTTCGTGCACCAAGCTCATGACAACCGTCGCTGCGATGCAACAAGTCGAACAGAAGAAGATTGTCCTAGACGAGGACGTTGGGAGGATACTTCCGGAACTCAGCAGACTCAGAGTCCTGACCGGGTTCGACGGAGAAGGAAAGCCGGTTTATGAGGAACGACGGGGCAAAATTACCCTAAGGTGAGTAGACTACAACAGCTTGCGTAGTGAAGCTTACTTTGGACTTACTGGTGTTTCTCTCGCAAGGCATCTCCTCACGCATACATCCGGATTGACTGCACCGATGTTTTCCCCCAAGCTTCAACAGCTGGCGCAATTGAGGGGCTCTCCAGAAAAGCCCCTAGATACTGTTGTGGCTGAGTTTTCCGAACCTCTGGTTTTCCAGCCCGGGACAAACTGGCAGTACGGCACCGGTTTAGATTGGGCTGGTAAGCTCGTTGAACGTTTCTCCGGTCTTTCTCTCGAAGAATACATGCGCACCCACATCTGGGGTCCGCTGGGCATGCAGCACGTGAGCTTCTATCCCGATTCTATCCCGGAGATAAAGGTGCGCAGGATAGGGATGAGCTATAAGGACGATAGCGGGAAGCTCGTTCCCATAGATGACGTTATGAAAAAGTATAACGAAAAGAAAGACATATATGGAGGCGGAGCGGCATTTGGGTCCGCGGAGAGCTACGTGAAACTCCTACAGAGCATCTGCGCGAACGACGGCAAGGTCCTAAAGAAGGAATTGGTAGAGGAGATGTTTCGACCGCAGCTAAGCGCCGAGGTTAAAGCGGCCTTCAACGCGCTGATTAAGGAAGACGAGCTGTTCCAACGGGTGGGCGCGAACTCGTTCGATATGAGCCATCAAATTTTGGATTATGGCCTTGGCGGGGAGATCGGTACCAGAGATGAAGTTGGCAGGAGGAAGGCTGGGACCATGTCGTGGGGCGGTTTGCCGAATCTGATCTGGTGGATTGATAGAGAGGCTGGTCTATGCGGTGCTCTGTTTACGAATCTTATGCCAATGGGCGATGAACAAGTTCATAAATTGATGGCGGTGTTTGAGCGGGCGGTCTATGAGAAGTATGAGGAGTTTAAGAAGCAGTAGATCTGATGGGTGATTGGATGATGTTGTAGGTTGTAGTCAATGCTCTCACATCCATGGATCTGAATCAATTCAAATCGAATCAAACCAGGTAAGCGACGACCATCAATAAACGATGTATGCGACCGACAAAATGCAAGGATTCCTGGAAGGAAGGTAAATTCGTCCCCGTCTCCGAATCGATATCGGTATCGAAAAGTTGAAAATTCAGCAAAAATGATGGCACAGAAGGAATTTAACCTTCAATTGATGGACTCGCGGGGAATCGAACCCCGGACCACTCCCAGGCTATTATTAGAGCTGGATCTTGCCTCTAACGGTGCTAAGGGAGTATTATACCACTAAACCACAAGCCCCGGTGATTATTGGAGGTTTGATTGTTCGGGACCATTATATCGCTTGAACGAATTGAATCGAGTAGAAAGAGGGTTAAGTTGCCGGAAAAGCTCCGGTCTGATTTGGAGAAGTGCGGGTGCTTTGGCGCTAATGTCGCCTTCTACGCGCTTGGAACCTGGAAGTTGACCGTTTGAATTTTATTAGGAAAACTTTACTAAGTACACCTATCACGGCGAGAGTATTACTTCGAATAATGTTCTATTAGGTATCTGAAGCGCGGTCAGGGAATAATCCAACGTTTTTAAGGTTTAAGGTTCAATATATGGTTATTTCGTTGTAACGACGAGAAATCTACTCGACGTCAAGTCTTCTTAGTATACAGATACTTTTACTCGGACTTTGATTTTATACTTGTGTACCTATTAGGTAGATAACGAGAGTTGGACTATCTACTACATCTTGTCTCGAGAAAAGATGCTGAGTGATATTCTTATGATTTGACATATCTAGGCACCTAGGCACCTAGTCATGATGTTGTTAGAATCACCTACTTGGATTAACTAGTAGGTACGTTTACTAGACAATGTCTTTCGTTTGCGCCGTGAATTATAATAATGGAGGTGGTCTCATGTTCCGGGGCAGATATTACGAGTCGACTTGACCTGTTCCCCGGGTATGAATCAAGGGCTTAGTCGACAATCTCTAGATATCTATATCTGCATGCAACACAGGGAGTCTATACCTAACCCACTCGTAGAAAGCCTTGGCGATCCGGCTAGGGCTCAATGAGGGCTTGAGGAAGTCCTGGGCAGCAACGGTCTCCATTTGTACGTACATACAATCACGATACCTGCAGTAGTGACGATGACTTGGTTGGACGTTGGGCTGCGATTTTTGAATGAAAATTCTGCAGGTATGGATTACATGTAATGTGATCGTTTTAGATATTGACTGTCTAGTAGGTATCTGCAATAAGTAGGTACCTACTAAGTATTTGGGATACTATCCGATTCCATGAATTGCATGCTTGGATGCTCTCGTGAACAATAGCTTAATGTGCTCTTCTAAGCAATCGAAAAGTCCTCGGCCTGCATATTGTATTTATAATAGCCCTGGAGCTACCATCCTACCTAGGTACCTACCTACTAGACAGTATGTACATGCCATGAAGGCGAAAAGAGCTATGCACTCCTGTAGCTTCCAAGATTAATACTTGGGTGGATACTTTAAAACCAAAGGGAATTCAATAGTGTGCAAGTTCCTCGTCGCTGGTAGCTACCGTGCCTGTTGGCTTCCAGTGCCCCACCTTTGTACTAGTACCTTGAGGCAATCCCATAGCTGCCATAGCAAGCACCACCGCCTGCCCCACACCCGCAATCATTACGCAAAAGGCAGTGGCCGATCAGCCGCGACCTTTCAAACATCATAAAGCTAAACCTATTTTTTTTCTTTCCCTTTTAACACTTCAACAATTCCCGATCCCTACTATCCTGCATTTCATCGACGATTAAGTCAAGTAAGTTCTCTGATACTACATGCGGACGACTTCATTACTCTCCGCTTGTAATTAGAAACTAGGCACCATTGTTGAACCTGGAGACAACGGTATAGCGGCCTGCACCCGTCTGCACCGACCTAAATCCAGCTTCTTTAACAGCCGTGTCGGATCCTTGGAAATCGTATCTACCAACTTACCTCACATCATCATCCGCCCGCCCCTCATCCACTTCTCGCATATCTACATTTGACGACCCAACAAGATATTTTGTGACCCCGCGACCTGTAGTGTGCATCTTCCACTTTTTTTCCGTTTCTGACCCGATTTCAACGGCCTCGGAACCTTTCCGGAAAACGACTCTTTTTTTCATTTGATACCCGCAAGGCTGACATCCGGAGACGAGGCTCAATCCGACAATTTTACTGGGTTCTACAACACCCCACCTTGTGTGCTAAGGAGCAGCTCGATATATCATACGAGAGGAGCTGTCCAAGCCATATTGGACGCTCCCCGCGCGGCAAGTCGAATTGTCGTCACCGATTACCTGAGCCTTGGTAGTGGAGGGGGAGCTGACTTATTTTTCGCGGCTTTGCCGCACTGGTCTTCAGCATGGGAAAGATAGCGAAGGCCATCCAACCTAAGCACAAGGAGACGCAGGTAAATCACTCTATGTGATGTTTTGTTCTATCGATTAGCTCGCTCACTTTTTTCTAGTCTCCTTGGCTACAGGAGTTCGTCGACAATGCGACCTCCGTATCCTTACCTCTCTTACCGAAAACCCTTGCCACATTCCCTTCACGATGGCCTTTCCCCAGAGGCGACCTGTATCATTGGATACCATTACTGAACCGGTTCGACGACATCCTAGAATCGTTCTGCTCTACGTACAAATTGAGTGAGGGCCCCCAGACTAGAGATTTTGGCTGCGAAGTTTTAGCATCTAAGTCGACGGATGATCAAGAAGAATCGAAGGAGTCACTGGACTATTCGGAGCTGGGATATGGCAAGGATGGCGATGTCCAGCTTATAGTGGCGATTCTGAAGTTCACCCAGATGCTTCTGGACCACTGTGGAAACCGCAGCATATACGCCAGTAGCTCCCACTTAAACGATCTCTTGAACAGCACCGACTTTACAATCATCTGTGCTACCTTACGCGTTGGTGCGGAGCTTGCCCAGCGTTACCAAGCTTCTGTCAAGCGTATCCACGGAATGACAACCCGACAGATACACACGACTCTTCTCACGAACCACTACAACATAGATCTAGATCGTGTACAGCAGCTTTCTCAACCTTTCGTGAAGACACCTCTCTCGAAGCCGTTAGAGTCTACCCTTCTCTCCACCCCTGCCTCTGTTGGAAAGAGCAAAGAGAAGTCTTATGGCGGTGGCTCTAAGAACGTGGCTACTATGTATGCGAACGACTTATGCGCCCTAGCCAAAGATGACTCTACGGAGAACTCGGGTTCGCAAGCGCGTTGGAATGGTTGGGGTGATGTGAAGCTTACGTACTATCCTGTATCGGATTCCTCGCAGGGATCTACTCAGCAGTCTCTACCTGATCGCGGCGCAAACTCAAACGCGCCCTCGACGCCAACCCCTTTGAGACGAAGTAGCACATCTGCCGCCTCCCAATCGACTCCCCGTGCGGGCCGTCAAGGAGCGGCGGAGGAGAGCCCAGCGTCGGCGTCTCGATCTCCAGCTGTGGGGCGGGATGAGAGCAGCCCCGCAGGCCAGAAATGTCTGGAGATATCGCATGCTTCGGTGTCCTCGTCTTCAATCTATCAGCTTCTCGCAAGAGCTCCGGCAGATCTACCTAAGGATGCCAAATACGAGCTCTTGAATCGACTAAGAGTCGCTAAGGCTCTCACAGGATCAGTTGAATCACGACGACAGGCACTTAAGGCTCGCCTATTAGCTATTCAGAACTTGGCGTATATCCACACAGAACCTACCTTCATCGAGAAGGTGCTTAGGCAAGATAATGATGAGCCGCGACGGTTCCAGCTGGTATACCAGCTTGCTGAATTGATTCACCCTGCCGCTGATGGCGCGGCTGTAGTACCGATTGATCTACAGTCTATCGCATTCTCTTTGTTGGAGGCTATTTCGAATTTTCATCACAAGCTACCTGATGTCTTCTCGGCATTGAATGCGACGGTGAACCATGGAGTGTTGCTTTATGTCATAAGAAAGGCTGTTGCTGAGATGAAGAAGGACGACTCTGGGGAGCAATATAGCGAACAGGACGAATGGCGTGATACCCTCATTTCTTTGACGCTACATATTACGATGTCAATGGTCAACAACACATCGCGTAGCATGCCGGAGATAATATCTGCCGGATTGCTAGATATCATCGTTGAGATCCTCAATATTAGGTCCAACATAGCCGAACGCACTTACGGCTCTTTGGTAGCGTTCTTAGACAGTCTCGTGTACAACGTTCAGAATTCCTTCCAGACATTGATAAATGCTGACGGCCTTGAGGCTGTTACAAACCTTGTTACCCATGAAGTTGAACTAGCAGAGAAGCTTGTTACAGAGGGCAAGGGAACACCTGTTACTCACCGCTCTCAGGTTGTTGATTACGAGATACCCTACTGTCAACAGCAGAACCTCAAACACCTGTTGAAGTTCATTCATCATTTAATGTCAAATGCCTTTGCTTTTGGTGGTAACACCGATCGATTATTGAGAAATCTCGTTGACAAGTCTGCTCTGCTTCACAGCATACGCGAGATCATCGAGAACATGGCCAAGTTTGGCTCTCTGGTGTGGACTAATGCTGTTGTTATTTTGAGTGATTTCCTGAATAACGATCCGACTAGTTTCGCGGCCATATCTGAAGCGGGATTGGTACAAAGCTATCTTCAGGCGTTGACAGGTCGTCCAGTACCCACGGCAGCTCTCGGGGGAGCAGATTCGGGCCAGGAGGGGAACCGAGACGATAGTCCCGACTCACCTTCGGATGGATCCACACCTGATCTCCTTGAGCCTGACAATCGCTCGCATCCCCCGTCACAGGAGGAATTGGAAGCACCTCGCGAGAGTCCGCTAGCCCGCGGTATTCTGCCCAACTCAGAACCTATTACGATCGTGCCCACCGTTTTGAATGCAATTTCCTTGAACAATCTCGGAATGAAGATGGTTGTTGCATCTCACGCGTTCGATAGCTATTTCGAGATTTTCGAAAGCCCCGAGCACGTACGAGTAATGGCAACAGACGATAATGTGGCTCAGAACGTGGGCGGTAATTTTGATGAACTGGCTCGTCATCATCCCTCTCTTAGACCAGCCATTGCGAACGCTGTGTTGGATATGATAGCCAGAGTCGCTCATCTCGCTCGAGTCAAGGCAAGAGATGCTCAATGGGGAGCTAAGCTTCTTGTAAGAGATGCGAATGGCCGAGACGTAGTTGCCGACGAGGGATTACTGAGTGAACCTCGAGTGGCTCCTCTAGATAAAGGTAAAGGCAAGGCTGTCGCTACAGCCGACGATGCCGATATCGAGATGATGGAT